TCATGTGTTGCAAGGGTATCTAAAGCTTCGTTGTGACAAGGTATCTTTCAGTGGTGTATTTGTTGCTGTAATTGGCACTGTTTGTAATTCTTTTTTTGGCTAATTTTCAAATACGAACCATTTGGATATTGGATCTGTATTTTTATTTTCACTTCCAATGGAACGCCCGTTGCGGACAATTTGCAATACTCTGAGTATTGGCGTTGCTGTGGCCGCTGCTCGCTGCTGTGGTTGTTGCTTTTCTGCTGTTTATGCAATCAAAATTCTTGCCGTCCCCGCGGCAGCAACAGCCAAAGCCAGAGCCAGAGACAGAGCTCGAATGGCACTTGTGGGTGCAATTGTAATTATCCTAATTTATGTTGTGTGGTGGTCTCTTTAATGCAGTTTCAGAGCGACTCGGTGACTGCACCGCCTATCTGCTCCACTGTGCTCCAGTCCAGTCCCCCATCTACATACTTTGATCCCCTCCCGCCTGAGCGTTGATTCTAAAATGCCGCACAGATTTATTGCAAATTATCTCACAGCCTGACAATGATCGATAGTATAAAATTTATGGCCGCCACAGCGGTTTCCCTCTTTTTAGCATTTTCCTCTCGCTGGTTAAGCAAATGCCTCGGCTCCCCCGCTCAGGACTCGGGTTCGGTATTTTCTGGCTTTCGGTTTCACTCAAAACGGTGGTGGCCACTGTCCGTGCTGACGGTTGTATGTATATGGCCGCAACGCTGGTGGAAGTGCATTAGTGAAATGGAAACGCGGAAAATCTGTATGCACGAATGCGATGGGAGATTAATTGATTCGCTGGGAAGGTAATGCAATTAAAAAATAAACCATTTGGCACACAACCAATGAATGAATATTCATTGTGAGCAGAGAAAATAATTTAAATATATATCAAGTGCTCCGAATTGGTTTTCCTGCCAGCGACCCATCCCCATGCCATCCCCCTAGACACGGCAAATAGTCGTATTTGCACATGACGCCGCCTGTGAGTGTAGCAACACGCCTACTGATGTCTGCCCTAATTAATTAAACATCGACATGGGGAGGAATCAGAGTGCTAAATTATTAAATCAACCAATAAAGGGCACTCGCATAGAAAGAATTTATTCAATTTGTTAGACAAACAGCCTCTGGCTTCTTTGATGGCTCTGGAGGGGGGAATGAAAGGTAATCAAAAGCCAGAGCTGAATAAACATGATTGACAATGGAGTAGAGCATATTCAGGTGTGGTCCCCGCCAATAAAATGTAATTGAAATGTTCCTGTCAGCCAGCAAGCTATAACGTGATTGGAACACACACGACGCGGATAACTCAGAGCTGGTGTTGGCCAACATGAGCGTAGACAAAGCCAACTCCATTGATTTATGATCTCTTAGTGGGATTTAAATTAATAATAGTGCTTGAGCGCCAGAGCGCCACATGGAGTTGTCAATATCACTTTTGTGTTCAATATATTATATTGACATTCGATCGATTAAATGGAATTGCGCTTGGGGATCTCGTAGTTCTCGTTCGATTCCCTTCTAGATTGATTCGGAAAGTAAGCAACAGCTAAGCAATTAAACCGACAGGTGTGTCTTTCCGTCGTTTTCGTAAAGCAGATGCCATTTTATCGGTCACATTACTCACAATCGCTTGACAATTGAGCAGTAAACTAACACCAGTAGCCCCAGACCCAACCATAATACAGCAGACACTCCGTGCAAACCAACCCCAGGCGATAACAAGCAGATGCCTCACCAGCAACGACTGGAGCCTCTCCAGAACGTAAAACAGTTTTCCGACTCCCGACAGACAGCGACAGACACAGCTAACGCTCCATAATATTTAAATTGATTTGGAGGTGAAGTTTCTCCGAATCCGGGACTAAGAGCGACGTAAAGTGCAGTCGACCACGACCCTCTTGATTACCCTTCTGCCAGTGTGAGTGCCAGTGTGAGTGCCAGTGTGAGTGAATGTGTTGTACGGGTGTGGAGCGGAATACTTTCTATCTTTCGGCGTCTGGCAAAGTCAAGTTCAAGTTGGCTCTGGCTAAAACCTCTGGCCTGTCTCTCCGACGAAGTGCGCGTCCAACCGGTTTGTCCAATGGGAAGAGCAAAAACACTTAAAGTGCATCACGCTGAGTTGCAATCGATGTGGAACTGCGTTTCTTCACCATTAGCTCAACCTTGAGATGCGGAAATGCGGAAACTTCTAAGCGAAAGCAGACTGTTGAGTGGTGAAGAATATTCACCTTCTTTAAATGCCTGGCACTGGCAAGGCATTCAAGATGGGCAATTATAGTTTGGGGTATCTTTTTTGGACCTCCTACTAATCCATCGGAATCGGATCCATCGTTGCTCTGATGTCGATAAACCCAGGTCATACTCCAGCCGCAACAGCAACTGATCTGTACTCTTTCGTTTTGGATTCGCTTTGTTGAGTAGATTTATTGATTAATCAATTGATTGATTCACGATTCGTTCGTTTACCTTTCGCAAAACCTGATGCCGCAATCGAATATACATACATAATATATGTACGAGTTGCATATTTATGTACATATACATGTTACAGCAAGCTTGTTCAGTTACTAAGTCACCTGACGATGATGTGGTCTTGAACCGCAGATCAAGTGAACACAAAAGGCAATTGAAATTGGAGTCCATCGAAGCGTTGGCAAATTGTATAGCATTAGATAACTCTTGGAGCTGCAGTCCATCACACACACGTACCCTACATACCATATGTTTATTTGTTTGTTAATACTAATATTCCTAGTGCTACAAAGTTGTACCTTATGTTTAGTGCACTAGTCACAAAAATTTCAATAATTATTAAATTAAATGCATATACACACATGATCATAATAATAGGTACACACATCTACGTGAACTTTATCATAATAGAAAACAGTTTTATTCGATATTTGAAAATTAAAATAGTTCCCACTTACTAATATTCATTAATAAAAAGCTTTTAAGTATATGATAATGTTATAAATGAAAAGAGATCCATTTGTATTTTAAAGTCGATGTAGGCTGATCAAAATAATAGGTACACTCAAGTGTCAGATAAAAATGTTGTAACTGAATATAACAGTCCCATAATTATGCTTGTTTGAAAATGAAAACTTGGCTAATTTCTTTTTAAATCTCCCCACAAGTTTCAATTGGATTTAAGTCGGGAGATTGACTAGGCCACTTTAAAACGTCAATTTATGTTCCTCAAAAAAGTTGGTCAAAAGCCTTGATGTGTGCTTGGGTCGTTATCTGTTGAAATACCAACGCAAGGCATATTCTCAGCATAAGTAACATAGCACTCTCCAATAAGACTTGTATTCCTCAGCGTTCATTTTGTTCGTTGTCTGGAAAAGTGGACCTACGCCGTACCAGGAGAAGCAGCACCATATCATTATATTGCCACCCCATGTTTGACAGTTTTTTTGGTGAAGCGTGGATCAAATTCCTCCTTTAGGGCGTCGTACATCCTTTCACAATCATCCCAAATAAATTTATTTTTGTCGTCGCTCCACAAAATGTTTCTCCACTTTTCTCGCCGTCGCATCCTACCCAGTCTTTATGAACAATAGTAGATGCAAATACAGATTCTGATTGATAAATGGACAAGACCATCATTATCAGGTCACAGTCGCTAATTAAAAGGTTTAAGGCTAAAATAAGTATATAAAACAATTTCAATTTCATCGGACTACAACATCCCAATATCCCATCCAATCTTCTGACACGCCTCCTTTTCCACTAGGAATGGTTTTCCAATACATGGAAGTTCTCACAGTTCTTTTTGAACGCAACCCCGGACATGCATCGATAACTGTTGCTTGAGCATACATAACAAAGTCTCCTAAAAAAAACCCCCAAAAGAGCCCTGATAAAAATAAACATTTTCAAATTAATTCCGGGCTAAGCTGGACTGGACGTACCCGACTGATCGAGAATGGAGACTGGAGAACGGAGACTGGAGACTGCAAGAATAAATCAAAGGATGGCCAGTGTAAGTGTTTCTTTCCTATCAAATAGTCTCACATTTTTGAATAATTTTGTAATTCATTTAAATCACTCCAGTGTTATGGTTATTACTAATTTTGCACCACTCACACGTATATGTAGTGGGAGGGCGATAATCTCCGTGTATGTAGTGCTGCTCGTACATATTTTATAATGCAGTGTTTAAAGGGAATTAAAGGTTCGTGAGGCGTAACTGAAACCCAAATTGGCCCTCTAGTGTGCGGCGAGGCGCGGGCATTTGGTTGGGGTTAGTATTACAAGATTATGCGGGTAATTGGCGGCATGCGATGCCATCTCATGTGCCTACACCCATACAGACGCACCTTCTGCCTGTCCCCTGCCCACCAGCTGGGCCACTCCCCTCTCTCGTATACTCCTAAACGTTCACGCTTTGCATATGCCTTGCCATGCCTTACCTATGGCTGGAGGGGAAAGGTCTGTCGGTCAGCAGGAGAGATGGCTTTTGTTCACGTCCTGTCTTAATTTTTATGAGTTTCATGAACACTACACACGAAGGTGTATCTGTGTGAGAGAGAGTGAGAGAGAGAGAGTGCGTGTACGTACCTGTTTGATGGAGCCTACCCAGTAGACATGTCAACCCACACAAACGCACTGCAAAACATGTGAGGGTGTGCGTGCCGATCTATTCACTGATCTACGAGTATCTCAGATCTTGATGCATCCATTGTGCGCAGGTAGGTTCAGTACTGAATACTTCCACTTCTGTTCAACCAATCTGAATAAGACCGGAGTCCAAAGATTGTGGTTATTATTGTTCACGTTTCTTTCTCACATTGTTCGGATGTTCTTACTTGAACATAAGCGGTATTCTCTAGATACGTTTCAGTTTTGTCAGAATGAGCCGCAGAATTTTGAAATTTCGTCCGATTGCTTTTAGATTCATTCCCGTGGATGATGTAAAGTGAAGAAAATAAATTCATCATAGTAGCCTGTCCAAATATAGTCCTGCAATTCAATGAGTGAATGTGCGTATCGGAGCCTTTTCAAAACCTGACAGTAGCCTTTGAAATTAATTATACATTTCATGGATTTGGCATGTTGCGATGGTTGGATGGAGTACCGAAAGGATCGTTGAGAAATCGGAAAACCAACCAAGGATACCCATGATTTACCCAGTTTTGGACTAGCGTTAGCTGAAGTATTGTTTGCTTATCCAAAGGAGTGGAGCTCTAATTCTGAAACGGACGAAACTGCTTCACCACCAATAAGGTATCGCCCATAAATTCAAAAAATTAAAAAAAAAAAAACCATTTGATACTTTATCGTCAGTTATGAAAGGGCAACAATATGAATTCAATCTGTTCAAAAATATATGTTTGGTAATAGTGGGTTAAGTGGGTTAAGGTGAAGCTATGCAGCTCGTTTGGATGAACTATAATGTTTAATATTATTACAACTAAGCAAGTAAGGAAAGAATGGTCTCAAACAATGAAAATAACATTTAATTACTCTCTTATTTATTTTATTATATAAACAGAATTTCTTTTTCATCGGTATATTTGCGGTATATTTTGAAAATGAGCATGCTATTTCCGTATATTTCTGAGGGTTGGATGGTAAATTTGTTCGATAAATCCGCGGTCACACTGACTTTTAGTCACTTACCAACACTGACCGCGGCCTGCTTCAAAAAAACACGAATGAACAAGTCGCAAAAGCCAAGTATTCTGCAAGTGTAAAACGTATCGGATCTGCTATGCAATGCCACCAAAACGTGCAAAGAGTAAGCTATGAAACCAACTAAATCTATAGGTCATTTTCTTAACCTTGAGCTGTACAAGTCCCTCTAGCTACGCGGAGTCAATCCAAAGATAATCGCCAGTCACTCCGCTGCCCAAGTTCAGCGCTGAAAGACATGGAAAATCAGACGCTAAGATATTCCGTATTTAACTGGGAAATAGACCTCTCCGATGAAGATCAAACTCATGATCAAGCACGCGAAGTGTTTTCGTTGTCGCCGTGCTTCGAAACGGTTGAAAACGATGTGGAAATAGAAAATCAGCCGGTGCCCTCGTACGAATCGGAGGATACGAAATTTGATTTTAGTAGCGGCAAGTAATTAATTACACACATATTCTACCATATTAACCCATTTGAATAACCGTAGAGTATGCCAATGAAACAGATGCCCTCATAGTCGTCAGCAGTGCGGAGTATCAAACAAGGAAGACGGATTTCGACAAGCATGTGAAGAGGGTCTTAGCGTTGGAGCAGCGTAAGCGCGAACTTGAGGCTGGAGCACTTCATAGTGAGGAGCTGGAAAACATCAAAGCGATTTTGCAAAAGGACAATGATCTTATGCTCATAAAAGGCGAGCTTTTAGACGCTCTGCTAGTGGATGAGGAGCAGCGCGAGAATTCCGAGCCTCAAGGGAGCGTGAAGCCAAAGTGGTCCAACTTGTTTTCTGGGCTGAATCGCCATCGGGACAAAGCCGCCACCACTCCCGCTGAGTTTTATCAGCACAAGGCGAACATTATTTCCAGCCTAAAGGTAAAACCAAATCAAGCGAATGATTTCTTCCGGGTTATTACTGTATTTTTCTACATCACAGACCATCTATGAGCCAAAAGAGCCCACACCCAGTGGAGATGAGTTTGCTGAGCAGTCCTCGCTCCTGCTGGTGGGCTTGCTGAAGCATCAGAAGAGCGGTCTGAGATGGATGCAGTTCCGGGAACGGCAGGAAATTTGCGGTGGCATCCTGGCAGACGACATGGGGCTGGGAAAGACTCTCAGCATGATTTCCCTGATCTTGGCTTCTCTGGAGGCAAAGAAACTCAAACAGGAGAAGAAGAAAAAGGCCTTGGAGGCCAAATGGAGTAAAATATTCGAGCGGATGCCAGTTAAGAAGATGCCAAAGTTTCACATTTTTGATGATGATGATGACGAGGAGGAGCAGGAAGACCAAAAAGCAGAAGAGAGTTATGAACCGCCCCCAAAACGCCCGTGTCCTGAGATATCCCATGTAGCCGAGTCTGAAGAAGAAGAAGACGAGGAAGATGAACGTGGTCCCTATCCGGCCGCGGGCACTTTAGTGGTCTGCCCACTGAGCGTGATGTACCAGTGGAGCCAGGAAGTCGCTTCTAAAGTGGCACCAAATGCCATTAAGGTTTTGATCTTTCATGGACCTAATCGGCATGAAATCAGCTTAGAGCAGTTTAGAAGCCACGACTTGGTTATAACAACGTACCATACCGTCGCCTCTGAGGTTGGGAAACGTGGCAATAGTTCCCGTCTGCTGGCCGTCCAGTGGAAACGCCTCATCCTGGACGAAGCCCACATAATAAGAAACACTAAGACTTACTGCTTCCAGTCGGTCTACCTTCTGCGCGCACATTGTCGTTGGGCACTGACAGGCACACCCGTTCAGAACAGGGCCATCGATGTGTTTGCGCTGCTGCGCTTCTTGAACGTGCCGCACTTCACGGATCTGAATCGGTGGAAGAAGGATCTGAACAACGGCATGCAAGGTCACTTTCGGCTTAGCCTCATTATTAAGCCGCTGATGCTGCGTCGCACCAAACAGGAGCTGCAAGCCTCCGGGGACATGCCCCCACTGCCTGAATTGAGAGTCGAGCTGGTAAACGTAGAGCTCTCGGAGCCTGAAATGGCGGTCTATCAGATAATGTCGGCGATTTCAAAAAAAATCTTTACCCAGTTCTTGATGCAGCGCGAGGTAGGAAACAACGACTTAAACTACTATTCTGCGCAGCAGATGCCACAATTCATCACCAATAATGTTGAGGAAAAATATATAAAAATATACGAGCGATTCCTTCGGTCGCTTGGCTACGATCCCAAAGAAAAGGTGATGGGAATCGTTATTCTGGTGCTCCTTCTGCGCCTTCGTCAATTTTGCTGCCACCCCTGTCTTATGATTAAGGTGGGTAGATTATATCAGATCCTGATGGCTAAAGGGTACCGGCTCTTGAATTGAACGTTCTTCTTTTTTTAGATGTTTTTGTCCATGGATGAAGCCATGCCCATGGATGATCTAAGGTCGGATGTCCGGCAAGTTGGCGGCTCGTTGCAGATAGATGCACTAAAGGAGTTGGAAAACTACTCAGCTGGTGATTGCAGCTCCGACGACGCAGCACCAAAGCAGGCTGAAATGAAAAAGAAAATTAAAAAGGAAGAAATCCAGACTCAGGTAAAGGTGGAAAATATCAAATGGGACAAAGTAGAAACCCAGGAAGAACCTCAAGAAGGGGAACTAAAGATAAAAGTCGAATGTATTAAGAAGGAAGAACCCCTATACCCCAAAACCGAAGAAACTAAAGGAGATAATATTAAGAAAAAGGACGAAAACGTCCTTAGCGACTTGGCCGGAGCCATGCGACTGCTTAATATAAAAAATCCAATTTTTAATTCAAGTCAGTCGTCGGCCAAAATGAAAATAGTCATTCAGAAACTGCAGTCGATCCTCGTAGAGACGACTGACAAGGTCATCGTTGTGTCCCAATGGACATCTTTTCTAGATGTAATTAAAGATTATCTGCAGGAACGTGACTGGCAGACGCTCGATTTTAATGGCAAGATGGATGCCAAGCAACGCGAAGAGGTCCTCAAAGAGTTCAACACAGTGGCGAATGACAAGCGGGTGCTGTTGCTCTCCCTTACCGCTGGCGGTGTTGGGCTCAACCTGAATGTGGCCAACCACTTGCTGCTGGTGGACTTGCACTGGAACCCGCAACTGGAGCGACAGGCGCAGGATCGCATCTACCGCTACGGCCAGCAGAAGCCCACCTTTATTTACCGCTTCATGTGCCAGGACACCGTGGAGCAGCGTATCAAGGCCTTGCAGGACTACAAGTTGGAGATTTCCAATGTCGTGCTCCAGCCAGACCAAAGCGCATGGCCGTCAGCTGGTGGAGGCCTGAGCATGGAGGACTTGAAGAAGCTAATTCTGAAGTGAGCCATGCCCGCACATATCGGTTTGACAATCCGAGTCCATTTTTTTGTTTTTTGTTTATTTGTTTTTAAGAAGATCAGTATTTGTTTTCCTTTAACATTCAATGTTATTTTTCTAAGAAACGCTTTAATCAGCCCTATCGACATACCAAAGACAATATAAGTATTGTCTTTGGACATACATATATGTACATATACTCGTAGTCCATATGGTACACAGTCTGTTGTGTATGTATGTGCCCGAACGTGAATTCGATCTAAAAATATTCAAGTATATATAATAATAACTAAAAGTAAAACATTATTCGTTCCTAAGAACATTCAATGTAACATCTACTGAAGCGACTCCATGTGAACATTAATTTGATCTTCAAATATCCAATAAGAGTAACAGGAAGAAACAGGAACTGTGTTTGATTTCATTTGATCGCAAATATGGGAGTGAAAATGAATTCCCATTCTCGGTAAATTGAGTAAAATAAAATTAAAATACATCCCCTACATTTTTGATTAGTTTGTATCAAAACGAATTTATTTCTGATATTACAATTGGAATAAGTAAGCAGATGTGAAGGTGGGGGGAATGGTGTATGGGGATTTTCCTGTATGTGGAATGGAAATTCAGCTGAAGGCTCTTAGCGAGTAGGCCGTTGGTTCCTTACTTCTTCAAGATGGAGTTGACGGCGAGGACAACGTTGCGGGCCGAAATGCCAAACATGTCGATGAGAACCGCTGGAGGACCCGAGCGTGGTACAGTGGGCACAAACAGATGCTTCACCACAAAGTTCCGATGCTCGGCCAGGGCACTGAGCACAGCCTCTCCCAAGCCTCCTTGCCTGCAAGAGAATCGTATTCGTATTAGCAAGAGAAGTTCTCCGCAGAAGGAATGGCATCTACTTACTGGTAGTGATCCTCGACGACAACCACACGGCCACCGCACTGCTTGCCATGCTCCACAATTAGATCCACATCCAGAGGTTTCACGGTGAACGGATCAATGACACGGACTGTGATGCACTCCTTTTCCAGCTGGTCGGCGGCGGCCAGGCACTCGTACAAAGTAATGCCAGCTCCGATGAGGAGCACCTCGTCAGAGGGCTTCTGGCGCACTACCTTTCCGCGTCCAATGGTGAAGGGCTCGTCGTTGTTGTAGAGCACACAAGTGTTGGGACGAGAGGTGCGGATAAAGCAGACGCCCTTAGTGTTGGCAGCCAGCTCGACGGACCGCTCGGTGCTGACAGCGTCAGAGGGATAGAAGATCGTGCTGCCGGGAATGGTGCGGAACAAGGCGATGTCCTCAAGTCCCATCTGAGAGGGGCCATCCTCGCCGATGCTGCAGCCACAGTGGGACCCCACAAAGTTCACATCTGTCTGCGAGATGGCGCCCATGCGGATCTGGTCAAAGGCGCGCGTGAAGAACGTGGCGAAGGTCGAAACGAAGGCCACGGTGCGACGGCGGCAGGCGGCTCCAACGGCCACACCAACCAAATTCTGTTCGGCAATAAAGCACTCGATATAACGCTCCGGGAAGGCGTTCTTCAGCTTGTCGGAGAAGGTCGAGTTCTTAGTGTCGCCGTCCAGAGCAATCACACGATCATTGTCAGCTCCGATCTTGGCCAAAGCTGTGCCGTATGCTAAGCGCGTGGCCACCGCGTCCCCCAGCTTGTAGTTGGGTGGAGTACACAGCTTAATGTTGTTGATGTCCACCTCGGGTGCTAGGCCCGTCTTGCCCACCTTCTTGGGCGAAAGTTTGACGTTGGGGTTGACCATCAGGCCCTGCAAGTGCTTGATCACCTTGTCGGCCTGGTCCCCCAGGGGCTTGCCGTGCCAGTTGTCGACGTCCTCAATGTTGGGGAAGTACTTGCCCTTGAAGGTCTTGGCAATGATGGCGGTCGGTTTGCTCTTAGTGTTGGCAGCACAGTGGAAGGCCTTGCACAGCTCGTCGATGTCGTGGCCATCCACAACCAACGCATTGAAGCCAAAGGCCTCGAGCCTGTCTCTGTACACATCCATCTGGTGCTGCAGCGAGGTGGCCTCCGACTGTCCCAGCCTGTTCACATCGAAGATCACGCACAGGTTGTCCAGATTGTAGTGTCCGGCAAAGTGCAGCGACTCCCACACTGATCCTTCGGCGGACTCGCCATCGCCCACAATCACGTAGGTGCGATAATCGGCCTTGTCGAAGTTCTTGCCCACATAGGCCATGCCGGCACCAACGGCCACGCCCTGACCCAGAGATCCGGTTCCCACATCAATGAAGTTGAGACGAGGTGTGGGATGACCCTCCAGATCGCTGTCGATCTTGCGCAGATTCTTCAGCTCATCCACAGGGAACAGGCCAGTCTCGGCCCAGGCAGCGTATAGGATGGGGGCAGCATGTCCCTTGGACAGGATCAGACGATCGCTGGATGGATCCCGGGGATGCTTAACGTTCAAGCGCATTTGCTGGAAGAACAGCACGGACATGATCTCGGCCAGCGAGGCGCATGATGTGGGATGTCTGAGGTAAAACGAACAAATGTCAAGTTATTTTTATATTTTATCTTTAACAAAAAAAAACGGCTATCGTTCTTCACAAAAAAATTCCGGATAGCAGACAGACCAATAAAGATCCCAAATAGATAAACGATTTATACCAAGGGCGAGATTTCAATGGTATTCCATCAACAAATCAATCGGACAGATACTGATATATTTATACATAGATAAAGACCAATGGAATCGTCCACAAAATGTTCTGCGATTTGGCAAAGCTCCAACCACAAAAAAAACGCAACTCGGCAAAGGGGGGCTCGTCTTTACATACATACATACATACATACATATATATAAATAAACATTATCGCCAATACAAACAACTAGGGTGATATTCGAGTGAATGTACACATCTACCACACCGGTTTCTCGGACCTTAACCTCTATTGGGGTCTGGTCTGGTTTGGTATTACATTAGCATAAACCAATCTCAAAAAACAAAACTCTCAAATTACACGCTGCGACTGCATGTCGTCCGTCCCCTCCAGCAACTCCAAGTACTATTGAAGGTGATCCTGAGTGTCGCGTCACTTGGTCTGGCTCATTTATCAGTAGTTTTCACTGTCTTTCGATCAGCATGCGCTAAACACACCGGGCAGGGCATGGGCTGGTCACCTCTAAGAGGGTCTAATCGGTCATATCGTAAGTCGTGACGAACCAACCAAACCTCGGGTTATCTTGCCGGCAAAGGTCATCTATAGAGCGATCTTATCTCGCACAAGACCCCGAAGTAAAATACGAGAAGCAATAGAAGTTTTCTTATCTGAAGGGCTAGAGCAATCTTCGTTTATCTTTTTTTTAGTTTTATTTCGATTTTATCCCCTTTCCCCATGAGTTTTCGAACACTAGATATTGAACCGGCAATGCATGCCATGTGTGTGTGTGTGTGCGTTGGGGCGACACTTTAAAGCAGAAAACGAACAACAACCAACAACAAAATGCCCGCAAAGCAGTTAGACAAAGACAGTAACTTTCAAGGTCGGCAAAGGTCAGCTATAAAAATTAAGCAATTAGCACAAATGGGGCTTATCAGCGAGCAGCTCAAACGCACACACACACACACTGCAAAGCACTGCAAAAAGTTCACATACATATTCGACAAAGTGTATAATATCTGGTAAGGGAACGACGTTCCAGTGACGAAAACACGTGGCTTGGAAACTCAAGCCTGGCAGGGTCACCTTTGCCGGTCGCGCAACAAGTGCAAGGTGCACAACTTTTATATTCCATGGACACACATAATGCTTGTAAATGGTTCGATTGGGCGTACACTTACCCAGATTTGGAGGCCTGAGTAGAGATGATGGAATGAATGCGAAGCTTCTGGGCCAAGTCTTTCAGGTCCTGAACGGTCTTGGCTTCTGGCTTGTGGTAGGACATGTTGCGGATGATTGATGTGGTTGACGTTTGCAGCACAAAACTCGAAACTGTTGTATTCGTTAAACAACTTCTGGCGAAGAGCTGGAGCTGGAAAGAGTCAGAAATACGTTTTCAAATATACGGTATATACCGAGAAACAAGCGAGCTTAACCCACTTAACACCCCTCTATTTAAAAAGTGGAGCACCCTTTATTAAACCGCGGAAAATAATACTTTTTGATTAGGATCCTTGTAGCTCCATCCTCCTCTTTACTTACAAAACAAAAATGACCACCAACGTGTTTCACCTGTAATCCGTAAAATATGTTATAGTAATATAAATTTCGTGGAAATATTAAATACCCCCTGGTCGACAATGGGTTAACGTTAAATTTTATTGATTGAAATCGTATTCCATGATTTTGATATTCCGTTTAATATTATTAGCTAGTTGGCCCTTTCAGCCCTAAACATATAATTTTATGCAATTTGCTCAAAAAATTTTGACTAAATGTGACGTCACGTCATTGCTGGTCAACCAAGTTTCTTCTATGTGTATGGACCTGTGTATACCGTATTTAATTTAATTGATGTTAAATTTGTTGTTCCAAGCTCCGTTGAAACATTAATAATGAGTTTATCCTAGATTGAAATGTGTTTTACCTATTAATTCATGTGTTTTGTGTTTTATAAATACCTATTATTGGTACCCGCAAGCTGCAAAATTTCGTTAATATCTTTAAAACAGAGACTGAGTAGTTTCTGCATTAATTGAAGCATGAAATTACCAACAATATCTCTATTCTATAATATCCATTTTCCCAAGGTATTCAAATTTGTTGCTCATTTCGTGCCAAAGTTGCAGGACAATTCTGCCAGTTCATTTCCCCATGTTGCTGAAATTATTCTCATACAAATCAAATGTATATCACGGGAACGCGCAACAATGAATCTACATTCCAAATAACCAGCACCAACCAATGAAAAATGGTTGAAATTTAAGTACAGTTTCAGTATTTATTGGTAAAAGGGAATTATTTTCATTTCAAGCCAATTAATTGAGGGAGATAACCCGTCGGAAAATGTCGCGTGCGTCAAAATTGGCCCTAGATAGGATACCTTTTAGCCTGGAGAATGTCAACAGCTACAAGCTGGAGTGATTCCTCCCTCCACGGACTATTTTTACTATTATTTTACGCTATTACTTGCTTACATGTATTTGTTATACAATTGTTTGGTTAAAAAATGAGCCAAACCAAGCCCACATTCTAGCGTTCCTGTGATCGGAGAAAATTAGGTATTGAAGTGGGATAGTACATTTATATTTATCTTGGAAGTCCGCCAGATTCATTTGGCCATATAAATCCACGCCAGACCCGACTTGGCCTCCACTTAATCTATCATCAAAAATAAATAATTTCTTTTTGTACCCAAAAAAGACTTCGACATAAAATCCGTTGGAAAAGTAACGGTTTACCTTACGCGTTTTCAACTTTCAACCAATAAAATCGTTCGAAATTTTCTGTAACCATTTGGGGTGGTTTTCTGGGCAAAGTCCAAAAAAATGTTGGCGCGACCATAAAATAAGAAAATAGTGCCGAATATTTTTCTTCAAAAGTCCGCTGAGTACCAACAAAATATCCATTATTAATTTGTTAAATCATATCATTAATAGTCACACGATGAAGTAGACTAATTGTTGCTACGGTTCCCGTTAGGAACATGCGTCTCACACCCCGAAAAAGAGGGAAAGTCACCAAAAAGCGCCCTCTTCACCAAATTTTAAAAAACCACCACGATTTGCTCACGAACGAATAAAGTGACCCAGTCGAAAAATACCAGAATAAACCAGAAATTTGTTCAACAATACCAGCTAATGTTCCTTGTAATTGTAATTCCTCTTGAAAATGCGTAATATATGTTAAAGCTACATAAAATGTAAACTCAAATTTAAAACAAACGAGAAGGAACGTGTGAGTCGTTTCTGGGGACGCGACTCTACTTATACCCGTACTCATGATTTTTTAGAATTTTAGAATTACAAAAAAAAAATTTTAATTTTACATTTTTTTGCTACATCTGTTATCTACATCTACAATGTATATTCTACATCTCCTCAGCTAGGGCACTAACCATACAGTATATAGATGTGCCAGTTCATACAACGAAAGGGGCGCAGCTGAGTTTGCAGCGTACGTTCCAAGGTCTGTACTGTATGGTTAGTGGCTAGGGGTTGCTCGCACACTGAACGCGGCGAAATTTTGAAATACACTTGTAGCAGTGTGATATCACATGAGTCTGGAAACCAAATTTGGTTGCCCTAGCTCTTATAGTCTCTGAGATCTAGGCACTCAACAAGACGGACAGACAGACGGACAGACAAACAGACAGACGGACAGACAGACATGGCTATATCGACTCGGCTATTGATGCTGATCAAGAATATATATACTTTATGAGGTCGGAAACGTTTCCTTCTATGCGTTACACACATCCAGTTTTACCACAAATATAATATACCCCTTAACTCTTTTTTGAGTACGGTATAAAAACTTGCGCCCAAAACCAAAAATACTGGCAGCACTGCACGATAGCTATATTTTTTGCCGTCTCTTTTGGCTCGGAACCAAAACCGACAATTGCGCGAGAAGAATGCAACCTTCGATAGCTCAGTTGGTAGAGCGGTGGACTGTAGTTCGAAACATTTGCAATAGAAATCCATAGGTCGCTGGTTCAAATCCGGCTCGAAGGAGTTTACTTTTTCATTTTTTTTTTAATACTAATCTTAAACTTACCGTTTTTTGATATACAATATACGACATTCATAAATAACTTGTGGACAAACGCTACTTTCACCTATTTTTTTTTAGAATAAACCAGAATTTTGCCAAAGCTGTAGCTCAGAAAGTCAAATTTCAACTGATTTTGATATAAAAAACTAAGCAAGGGTAAAGAAATAAGTTTGTGTATATAATAATTTAGCGTGTTCTTTATTCACTTTATGCGAACAGGTCGAAACATTGATCATTTGAAGATACAAACAAACGGATTTTTCAATATCAACTATGTATACTAGGTATGCGTTTAAACTATTGCACAAATGAGCTAGCAACGTAGTTAACATTAACAATAGTTACATTGAATTTACACTTGTGGCCATCGGTGTTCCTGGAGTCATTGCTCATGCATGATTTCCGGTGGCGGGCGGCCACCTGGTCCAATCCTAACTTAAAGCGAATCTTTGATATCTTAATATGAGTTTACAAAAATAGGCATTTTATATAGTATGTATGTATGTAGTAAGTAGTTCTACTTATGAATAATTCGGTAATTATTTCTAAATAACTTTATGTTTGTGCACACATATTTGTATTCGTGCTTCGTTCAAGTACAGTGAAAGCTGCTTGGAGTGCACGGTCTGTTGGTTGCTTGGTTGGTGTTGGCCGCACATTGATCAGCTCAGCTATATTATAAAATTTATTTATAGTATTGTACAAGCGGGTTCCATATAAATTATAAACAAAATTGCATCATAAAACAATCATATAATATAACAAATGCTCAATGAGGACGTACAAAAATACGCTAAAAACACTACATACAGTGCGAAAAATGTTAAACGGAAAAATGGAATATCACTAGCTAAAAAGCATTCAAGAATTGTAAAAGTTAATCGGTAACATAAATAAATAAATATAAATTATAATACAATATCGATTTGTTGTCTATGATGTTCTCAGTCCAGGGCGATGCCTTGAATCCAGGCGCTGAGGTCGCTGCCGTCAGACTCCATTATAATCTCATCGGGCTCATCATTCGCCAGTAGATACTGTGCCGCTGTCCGTCCACTCAAGTAGGCACCGTGCACGGTGGAGTAGAAGCTGGAATGCGTGTGCTCTCCAGCAAACACGATGGCGGGCTGAATAGACATAGATATTCAGATTAGGGTTATAATGATATCTCGCGGCATGTACTGGGCTGTACCTTCATGGCCTGCGGCGTTGCATACAGGGGCTGGGCCAGGTTTTCAATATCTTCCTGGGTGGCTCCCACAGGTATGGAGGTATAGGCCCCTCCAGTAAAGTCCTGCGATTTCCAGCTGGTACTAGAAGTCAAAATATTCAGCAAAGGTAAATCAATCAAGAGACATTTTTGAGCTTACCACACGCAGCGCTTGGGTTTCGGGACATACGGATCTTGCAGGAAGCTTCTCAGGATCTCAGTACACTTTTCCGCCACAGCCTCGTGAGAGAGAGTCTCCATATACTCGGCCTCGCGCCCAGAAACCCATCCCAGGAGCAGCGTGTCCGTCATCTTGGCAAAGGAGTAGATTTTCTTGAACCAATTCTTGCTAAGATAGGCCTCGCTGGCCAGCTCCTCCTCAGTGGAGGTGTGCATGTCACGCTTGTCATCATCCCACAGCAGCATCACCTCCGATATGTCCGCACTAAGGAACGGCCTCTCATACTCCAGGTATATCTTGTCCACAGTCCCGAACATGAGATTCTCAATCGATTCCTGCTTGAACTGCGGCAGTTCCGGATCGAAAAGGGTCTTGTGCGTGTGCTTGAGCACGCCCAGCGGTATTGTGCATATCACATGAGCGGCGTGAAAGACGCGTCCGTCCTCGCAGTCCACGCGCACATTGCCCGTGGGATAATCACAATTGCTGCTGGAGTTCGACTCGACGGAGGCTCCCCGCAGGGCACCAGCCGCTGTGGGTACTTCTGTGACGGTTTTCTCCGAATCGTCCGAGTCCTCGTTCTCCGAGTGTTCGTCGACGGTTTCCAGGCCTGTGAATGTCTTTTTCCGCTTCCAGTGAATCCTTTTCACTGGGCACTTGGTCAAAATGGACTGCTGCGGTATCTGGCCACTCAGCGGTCGCAGTATGGAGCTGTAGCCAGAGGGCAGAACTATGTTGCCGCCCTGTAGCTCAGTGTAGCTGCCTGCAAAGGTAAATTACTCGTCGATCTTTTTGGCAAGCAACGAACCCGATTCGACAACCTACCCAGTTCGAGGAGATCCACTTCGTTCATGTTGTTGCAGCCCGTGATGCAGGTCTCTCGCTTGAGAAGACAGTTGAATATGGATTGCTTGAGGCGCTTCTCCTTCGGGTCCTGCACCGAGCTTAGATAGATCTCGATCTCGTAGTTTATGTGCTCGCCCACGCTATGTATGTCCGGCGGGGGGCTGTACTGGCACAGGAAATACTCGTCGCAGCGCCGTAGAAAGCACACGTATGCCTCATAGATCTCCTGCAGTATGCTGAAAGGAACTTGATGCCCATCTTCGGTGGTGGCCACGACTTTGTGAGGCTTTGGTACATTCACCACGCTGACTAGACCATGCTGCATTGCCAATTCAAATATCGGGTTACCCAGGACGCCGTGTATCCAGTTGGCGCCCAGCTCGATCTGTGCAAATAAAAGAAAGCGGTTGTTAATGAAATCTGCAGTGGGTACAATTATGCACTATGTTCATATATTATTAGTTCAAGGGGTGTGCTGAGGAGCTTACACGAGTCTACGTGATCGTTGCCCCGTCAGCCCAGTAGGAATCTGCGAAATGTAGGGCTCTAGCCTGGAACGTCATCGTTAGCTTGAATCAGCAATGGTCATATCTTATCTAACAGTTTTTGGCTATTGGCATGGGCTGTGCCAGTTGTATAACGACTCGTTGACAAAGTCATAACTAATGCACAAGTTCTTAGTAACTAGACAGAACTCTGGTTCCAAGCATAGCACCAACGGACTGCGCAATGCTTTGAAAAATCTATAATCCATGAGTACGAAGGCAGACGAAGAACTGCTTATAGCATGCTCGCTTCGCTTTTTCAAATGTGTGCTCCACATTTGTTAAGGGATTTAATATTGTGCTTTCTTGGGATGGTTACATAACTCTACCTTTTGATTATTGCTGAGTGGTATGGACACAATGCGCCCACCCACCCGACTGCGCGCCTCAACAATAAGGAAGTCGTCACAGCCGTTTTGCAGAAGATGGTTGGCCGCCGAGAGGCCGGCCATTCCTGCCCCAATGATCAGGATCTTTGCATTTGTGCTGTTGCCGGGGGCTCCAGCATTGCCGACAGATGATGCTAGTCCTTCCTCCGTTGGGGACGGGGCAGGGGTGGTTGGCTCTGCTTTATCGCCCATTGCTCCTAGGTCTGGACAGCCGTTGTGCACATATGCGGGTTTCTGTTTTGTTTGTTAAGCGCTCGTTCTCAATGTCTTTTGCGATTATTTATGCACCTCATTTTATTTTTTCTGCACTTTTCGTCCGACCCGCGACTGTTTTGACGTTTCTTTGACAGCGGCCGATTTCGTTGCGGGAGGGAACAGCTGATCGGGCAAATCGGCATTCGGTTTGGTGTATTATATAGCAACGTATTCGGAAGAGCATGAAAAAAAACCAACTTCATAAATTTCTTTTAAAATTTCAGTAAAATTGTACCCAACAGCTGTTGTAGCTAGAGTTGTTGACTTTTAAAGACTTTACAGCACTAAATCGGAAAATCATCGATAGTTTCACTTATTTTTAATACACATACATTTTTTTTGTTAGGCAGCACTAATTTTCGAAAAGGGGACTTCTGAAAGTCCGCCAATTTTCTCGATCTCTTCGTCGATGCCTTGGGCACCTGAGCCTGTCAGGTACACCGATAATCCTACAGTAAATACAAATTCTTGGTCGAGGAGCAGTCGGTCCGTCTCGGAGAAAATATGCCCCGTCAAGCCCAAGACATAATTCAGTTAAAGATACCACCGCCGATGTCGCCGAACATATCAACGACGACTTTTCCAGCATAGCATGAGTAACAGCGAAAGAACCCTCGACCGCATCAATGTTTGACAACGTGATCCATCCATCTTCCAATGACTTGGAAAACTTTACAAACAAGGTGTTAACTGACCATGAAAAACGTCAATTTATTGATTTGGGGACTTTACAGCCACCAGGGCCTTTTCCAAAAGAAGGCCACCAGAAGAGCAGATGTTTCTTAAAATCCTACTACTCTTTTTATACTTCTAAATATGGATCAGTCCATCGTTCTGGCTGTGTTATTCTAAATTACTGGATGCTGCGTACTTTGAACCCTGCTGATTGTTTGCTTCTCAAAGGAGTAATGGATTGGAGACATTTATCAGAAAAAATTAAAAAGCATGGCCATACGGAAACATGTGCTGTGTATGAAATTTGGAAGAAAATTGATACTGTCGACAAGGATTTTGAAAATGAAATTCTGAAAGAAGCGTCATTTCGGAAAATGGTTCTTAAAAGGTTATTCGATGTCATACTAACCCTAGCAAAGAACTCGTTGGCTTTAAGAGGACATCGAGAAAACTTAAGTGAGGAAGGGTACCATGGAAATTTTTTGTCCGTTATAATCACATGTTGCGGCAAGTTTTGGATATGCCTAAAGGTATTTTTTTTTCCATTTATATTTATTCTGTTCTGTTTCAATTTGTTTTTTTAATTGTGCTTTTTTAGGATCTACAAGATATCTGAGTGCAACAATCCAAAATGAAATGATTGAGTGCGGGGGGACCACACTTGAAAATCATATACTCCAGAAAATTAGAGCTTCTCTGTTTTTTGCAATAGCACCAGTAGTCAACACGACATTTACGCTGTAAATGACTTTCTGATAGATTTCGGGATTTTTAATTTTTAAACGAATTATTTTTTTTATAGATTTTTTTAAAAGAACTTTTAAAAATCTGGTATTTTTTTAAATGTTTTTTTTTCAGAGGTAGTGCTTCTATTTTTTACATAACGTAAGTACCTTATATCTGGTTGCATAGAACTTTGAAAAGCTGACAAATGCAGCTATAAATCCGACCCAGACAATTTGTAGCTGCAGCTTAACGCCTGGAAGATATTAAACTTCGATATGTAGGTAGTAAAATGGACAGCCAGTTGACATAGAAGTTAAAGAATCGTTTGTAGGCTTTTTTCCAGCACACAAACATGGCGCTGCAGATTTAGTCAACCAAATAACAAAATTATGTATCTGGCAATCAAAAACAGTGATTGTTTAACGTTATGATGGCGCCAGTGCGATGAGCGGTGTGTATAATCAAAGACGATACAATATAAAGATGTTGGATGAGGGCAAATGCTCTTTCAATTTTCAGTTGACGCCTAATGGTACTGGCGCGCGGGGTACTTCTTCCATTCTCCTTTGCCTCTGCTTGCTTGGCTTCGTCAATATTTTATGAACGCTTTGAATAAAATAAATGTACACATCTAATAGAAAATATTCCAGAGCTTTAGCGAATCTAATTTTCAAGATAATTTGAGTTTAGGAGATATGAGCACTCAAAGTTGAAAATGAAAAAAAAATGTATTGAACCTTTTTTCACTTTATAATTTATAAAGCCCACTGTGCGCATCTGCTGAGCTGTCTCGAGCTCGCTCTGCTCGTTTCTAACGAACAGACAAAGCCGTAGTCGAAAAGAGAATTGAAACCCCGCGAGTTACATGCTACACTCTTCCCGAGATGCCTCCAGCCAATACCTTCTAAGCTAATGTCCAACGAGGACACTATAAGAAGACCCCACTGTTAAGTTGTTGGCTAGAGTTGCCTAAACAATAGACATACATAAAGCCAAAACGGAGAAGAGAAAGGAAGAAGCCCAGGTGTTCAACTTCTGACATTCATTCGATTGTCGACAGCAGAACGAACCAGAGACTAATAAAAGAGTCTCCAAAAAGGTCAAAAATTTAAAATTAAAAAGAAAACCAATTTACAAATTGCTGCTGTTTCTTTGGGAAAACCATCCAATTACATAACTGACGCAGCCGAAAAGGCTCGAATCTTGCTCCTATGTGAAACGAAGAACCAAAAAGAATCAAAAGTTGCGTAAGTGGAACAAAAAGTGTATAATTTTATGAGTGGATGTGAAATATGCCATAAATTAAACTAAAAAGTAAAAGTTATAAAAAGTAACTAAATTGAGAAGAATGCTTAGAAAATTGTGTGCCAACTTATATGTGTGATTATTTCCGTCTCTTTCGGTCTCACACGCTAACCATATTGCTGGTTCGAACAGTGCGGTACAGTCTCGAATTTGGGACTTCGTTGACTGCGTGTCGTCACTATCTGTCTCCCTCACACATGCACGCCTTAGATTTGGTACGCCGTGAACTAGGTGACGTCACTTTTTTGTCTCACTCACAAAGAAGGGAAAATGTAAAAATTAAAGAAGAAAGGAAAAGAGAAAAATAAGAATTCAAAAGAAAAAGTACAATTGATTCGTTCAGTTCAGTGCGAACGGCGTATTAAGTATAAATTTCAACATAAAATTACACAAAATAAAACAATTTAAAAAAAAAAAGAAAAGTTATGGATATAGTACGAATGCATAAAAATATACACAAAAAAAATAAACAAACGCTGTGAGTGTAGTCCAATCCAACATGTTTAGGGCGAACATTGGACGACGGCAACACTCTGGCTCTGAGAACTCTGAGAACAACCGACGGTTCAGACAGAAACACTGGACGCGAGCAAACAAGTTACTGAGGTTAGTCTGTCCAGCCACAATAAAATCGGCTAATAACACTAGTCAACACGATTTTTCCTCAAGGAACAAAACGAACTTTTTCTTAAAGATTTGGGGCTTAGAAATGGTTTGTTTTTTTTTTTTTTTTTTTTTTTTTGGTTTAAGACTTTACTAGAGTTATGTGAAAAAAAAGTAAGCCGCTACCTCTGAAAAAAGCTTTAAAAACAGGAACAGACTAAAAAAAAAGTTCAGCCATAGAAAAAAACATAGATTCTTTGGAAAAAATTTTAAAGCCCATATCTATCAGAAGAAGAAGGTTTGGATCCTTGGGAAAAAAAAAAAAGGTGTCGATTTGTCTCCAGTGTAAATTAACGTATATTTATATATATATAAAAAAGAATAATAATCTGAATATAAGCTTATTACATGAAATAAGAAAGTAGATAGAAAATTTGTAATATTCTAAAATTAGTTAAAGCCACATACTCGGTCAGAACCAGGGTTGGCTCCTGAACTAAAAGTTCGTTGTTGAAGCTAAGTAGCTATACGGTTCCGACTGTAAAGGCTGGTAATCGAATATCATTTACATGAGTGAGTGGTTCCAGCACAATTAGATTAGGTAAACCAGGTCCAATCAATTTGGCTCGAACTGCAAGTGGCGTGTTGAAGCTGGGTAGCTATACGGTTCCGACAGTGGCTTGTTCAATTCATTTACATGCGAGGTGGTTCCAGCACAACTAGACTGCAATCCTGATATAACTACAAAGCTCAAATTTCACATCCACAAAAGAAAAGAGAATATCAACACATCACACATACATGCATAAGTATCACTTAATAGAATTAATTATATGTAAAAAAACAATACACGAATTACACAGCACCATATTAACATTAACACTATAAGTAGAACTAAGCTAAATAACAGTTCGCCAACCGTAATGGAACCAAATCAACTAATTGTACGACCACAAGGCAACTATTCCACCATGGATTTCCCAAACTCTGTGCCAAATAATCCAGCAGATGTATTTTCATTCTTACGTATTCCGGACGCAATTAGATTCCTACCCGAATATGACGGTGACGCAAAAAAAACGTAATGAATTTTTGGAAAATGTCGAAGAAAGGTACTGAAAATAAGCCGTACGGGAAATTTTTGCTAAGATCAATTAGAAATAAGATAGTGGGAAAAGCTAATGATGCCCTTACGGCATCAGAAGCTGGACTCAATTGGAATGAGATCAAGGAAGCCTTGATCATACACTGCTCTGACAAAAGAGATGAACAAACACTTTTGATTGAACTACACGGACTGGTCCAAAAGCCATTGTCAGTACAAAAACTCTTCGACCAAATTACAGAAATTAAGTCAGCCTTATTTAAATACACGGACGCTAAAGAGACTGACTCTGACATTATTAAGACAAAGAAATCCATATTCGCAGGAAGCTGCTTAAAGACCTTTTTATCAGTCATGAGGGGACAGCTGGGTGGAACAATTCGAGCTATGAAGCCTACTAATCTTCAAGAAGCCTATGAATGGGCTATTCAAGAAAGAAATATATTTCTGCAGGGCAATAACATTAGACAGGAGAATAACATGACGAGACGCGTAAACAATTTTCGTCCAAACGAAAGATATTCAAGATATTCCAATGGAGAATACGAACAGGATAGATATTATCGAAGAAATTCGCAAAGAAAATATGTAGACTACAACCACAAGAACTACGACAACCGTTACTCACCTCAGAACTACAATAGATATAGTACAAACGTACAAGAAAATAGAAATAGACCAAAAATTATGCCCAATCAAAGAGTTGCACCACAGGAAAGTAACCCCAACAATAGATTTAGGTATAATATAAATAATATTCAAACTTTAGGACAGGCACAGCAAACATCTGAACACCTTCACAATATAGAATCTATATTATAGATGATGGCGCAAATTTTCGCGAAAACGCCTC